TTTTTTTTTTTTTTTTTTTTTTTTTTTTTTTTTTTGACGTGCCTTAAACATTTATAAATTGTTGAAGCTGTTGGTGGATGGTAAAATCGAGAATGATGAGAGCAGACGGAGCCTGCGTTACACTGATGGGGCGTTTGAGTTTGGAATATGTAGTTTTTAAATTTTTTACGTCATGTTTCAAGTATTCTTTTTTTAATGAGAGTTCTCAAGTTTTTTTAGGTAGGGATTGGTTCTCAGCTTAAAATGCAGCAAAGTAGATCCGAACCGGACTTGAAGGTAGCAGTTCTTTTGTTCATTGTGGATGTGTTTAGGAAACGTTTTTGGTCCTGGGCGGGTTTTAAATTTTCAACGGTCGGGTAGAGCAAGTTTTTGGTTTTTAAAAATAATACCTTCCAATGAGTCTTTGACGGGAAGTTAGTTAATGAATTGAAAATTAGCACAATCAATAATTATGAGGAAATGATGCAAAAAAAGTTTTGTGAAGGATTTTATTCTACAGGAATTGCCAGAGATTCGAGGTGACATTCATTTTGGATCAAAAAGCTTAGATTGAAGTCGGCTAAGATCGCAAAAGTTACAGTATTTCCACTGCGTTTTGGTGGTTTTGTGAGCGATTACTTTTTTTGCTTGTGAATGTACCTTTCAGTGGCAGTTGAAGAGTGATATGCTAACTGCAAAAATCGTTAATAGCAACAACGAAGAGGATTTTGCGTTTTATTCCAGACTCGGAATTATAGCTTGGTTTCACTAAATTTGATAGAGTTTTAAAATTTTGAATTTTTTTTACAATATGAAGTTGTTAGTGGATGCTTACTTAGATATTAAATTTTTTCTGTTCTTGGTATGTGCCAATAAATCATTCTTGCAAGTTAAAGGCATATTTTTTTTAAAATAGCTGAAGCATTTAGTATTTTAGGTTTAACAGAGAAACAGTTTTTTGAGCATGGGTACTTTGAATAAAAGTTTCTTTATTTTCTTCATTCTGTCACAGTCTGAAACGTAGCTATTAAATTTTTTGTGCTATATTTTGATACTTTTAAAACCTGTAATTTTCTCGTGTAAGTACTGAAACCTAAGGAGGCTGTGGAACATCCTGTGTGAAGTCGCATAATTTGATCTAAATTCACTGTCTTCACTGCATGCTCATTTTATTGTGAATAGTGCAGAACCTTCACTTTTATTATTTTTCGTCAGGTTTTAAAATTTATAGATACGCTTTTGCAGTATGAGCGGTATTATATCAGGGCGTGCGAGAGTCGTATTTTCAAGTTCGGAATTCTTGCATTTATCTAAAGGTGGTCTAGATGGTAAAATTGTTGCTTATCGGGATTCTTGGTTAACAAGCAGTTTTGAAATGCAAGACTGGGTCACCTTTAAGGCGAAAGCGTGTGAACCGGTGTGGTTTCTGTCTGATGCTTTTTTTTTTGTTGAGTTCTTTAAAGTAGTAATTGTCGATTATTTATAGAATTAGATCCTCAGTTTCATTTCCTGTTTTTACTGGCACTTTTCAGGAGGGTACTCATGTTTCTTATGGTGTAAGGTATAGAGCTTTACCGAAGTCTGTCAAGTTTGAAGCTAAAGGGAAAATTGTTGATGGTATTGGTACTTTGTTAAAGGTCGATGAAGCTCAGGGTCAATATGGTTTTATAAAGGTTTGTTACTCCTGTTCTTATCGGCGTTTTTGTTAGTGAAAACTTTCAGCGTCATAGTGAGTTTTGCATAATCTGTTGTCTTTTCACGTTACTTGTTTTACTTTTGAAATCTTAATTTAGGCTAATGATGGGTCTACCGTTTATTTTACTGCTAGTGTTGTGAGGCCGGAAACTAAGGTTTTGTTTTAACTTATCCTATTTTATAAATCGTCTTGTTATAAAGTGAATGCTTTTACTGATTTTTTATTTAGTGAGAAGTTTGGTGGCCGTTTGTTTGGGACTCTTGTATGCTTTTTTTAAAACATACAATTTTTGCCGCCCAGAAGTAGTAATTAATGTTATTATGTTCTTTTGTAGGATATTCGAAGCGTATTTAAAACTGGAGTTCAAATTCGATATAGGGCTACTGAACAGAAACAAAATACTGTACAGTGGAGGGCAATTGCCGTGTGTGGAAAAAATGCTAGTATAGATAGTCTTACTGGCCGTCAGCCGAAATCAAATGTGTCCAATAATCCTAATAGGTATATAAGATTGTAAAGGTGGCTTTACTATAAGGTTGCAGATTCAGAAAGAGGATTGCAGTACACGGAAAATACTTTTTGAAATTATTGCTGTAATAAAGTTTTCATTTTGGAGCAGTTTAAAGTATTTCATAATCGCAATTTAAGGACGGTTGTGGGTCTGGCACTGAAAAAGCCTGTGAAGGCGGCAGCGGATTCGAGGATGTCTGTGTCGCCATCTGTAGATGGTGTAACTGCGGTCAAAACTGCAAATAATGATAGTAATAACAATAAAAATACATCTGTGAGTCCTCGCTCTTTACAAGTTAGTTTCCTTTCTCACGAGATAAAAGCTGTTTTCTTCATTGTGTTGTTGACTCTAGTGAAGTGCTCATTTCTAATAATAACTGTATACACTCTTGGCTTTTTTCTAAATATTGTGTTACTTGATTTTACTATGTAGAGTTTTTTTTTTTTGATGCTGCATTTTAGAGTCCTTCTCTGACTTCGTCTGATTCGGCCTTGTCCAATGGGCGCTCTGCTCCTTTATCTTCTACTAGTCCGAAAGCTAACGATTTGCGACCCAGCCCAGTGTTTAACATGGACTCACTTGATTCTTCAATGCCTCAAGCTCCATCACCGTTTTCTTCTGCTCCATTTTCTTCCTCTTCACATCCATCTCTTTCGTTCCCTGTTTTACTTCCAACAAGTCGATTTGACATGCAGAATCCGGATTTTCCATCAAGTAAGGCTGTACATTTTCAAGTTTTTTAGAGTTGGAAAAGAATGTAATTATGCAATAATTTGTTGGTCATTTTTTGCTCTAATATTATTTTTTTTAGCTGGTAATTCTTATGAAGATGCGGTAATTCGATTGACTTACTTTGCGAACAGTTTGACTGATAATGTTTGTAATTGCTGTAGCCTGCGTTGAAGAGCACTTCGGTGGAAGCTGTGTAAAAATTTTTTACCGTATAGCTGCTTTCACGTTCAAATTTGGACATCTCTCCGTAATTATATTCAAATGTTTCTCTTTAATACTTTTAGATAATTTTATGTTTTTCTTCACAACACTCCCAGTTATCTTGTAACGTCTGTTATTTCGTTTTTATTCTTCTTTTTGCTGTTATCGTCGCTTTTAACAGCCGTTTATGCAAATAATGAAAGTAATGTGCCTCGTGTTTGACGCGACAGCGACGCCTTGAGCCGAAATGTAGTAGTACGTTAACATCGTTCTTTTTAGTTCTCATTGTTTTAAAGGATGATAGATACAGAAAATCATTTATGGTCGTTTTTTTAAAATGCTGCTTTTCTTTTCATCTTCGTACTTTTTTTTATTTTTTATTTTCTTTTTTTGGCTAAAGCATTCATTGACGTTGCCGATGGTAAAGTTGTGTCTATTTGCTGTATAGAGCAGTCTTTGATAGATATTTCTTATTGGCCGTGTATTTCGGCACATTTAAGTCGTCTCTGTTGTCATTTTAATAAATTGCGTGCTGGTTTAAGTAAAGGTTCCACCGTATCTTTATTTTTCGAGTATGGGCCTATTGATGATTTTGGTTTTGTGACGCTCCATTCCGTTATTTATGATGCCATCTAGTTGACAACTACGACTGGAGGTTTATTGTTTTTAGTAGTTTAGTCAGAAAGTTCTGGGATAGGCGTGGTATTTTTCTTTAGTGGCAGTGGAAGTGTTTACTTTGTAGAAGTTTAGTTAATTAAAAGGCTGGGGGGAGGTTGTTGCGATGTCATGTTTCAAATTTTTTGATTTGAGCGTTAAAGTGTTTTGCTGTATGATGGGAGAGGTTCAGGGCGTACACTTGGGACGTCTTCACCTTCAGAAACGCTTTCTTGGAATTGAGGGCGTAGAAGTCTTCAAAATGGGATAGCGAAGGCATTAAGTTAGTGAAGAGCTGTAGATGTTGTTTGGTATTGCGTGTTAGCTGGAAGTTTGATAATGCTGTTATTGGCAAAGTAAATTTTTGACATCATCTGTTGGTTTACTTGATTCCTTCATGATTTGGTGTTATTTTTTTTTTCACTGTATGAGATAGTTGTCATCCGCCTCTATTTGGGAAATGGATGAGTACTGCAGCAGATAGAGGTCAAATGATTTCCTGTTTCTACCTGCAGTTTACTGTAAAGCGAGCAGGGAACCGAACATGAGTTGTGCTTTACTGAAAGGGACTAAGTTTGTCGTTCAAAATGAGTTCCTTGGTGTGGTTTTGAAATTGTTTCAAAATTGCTTGACGTGTGGCGAAGTAGTGGAGTTGTGGGCTTACCTGATTGGAAACGCTTAGCATGTCTAGGTCTTGTAATTATATTAGGGAGCTGGCAGTTTGTATAAGGCAGTTTATGATCGGAATAAAAACGAAGTAATGGGTTTGGATCTTGCTTAACACTGATTGAAGTAGACTGCCAGCTACCCTTCCTTTTTGGCTGCGGAAGTGATCGCTGTCGCTGTTTTTTCGCTGCAACAGTTTTCGTTCTTTCTGAACTACTTTTCCGCATATTAAGGTTTAAAATTTTTATCAGATGTAAACAGTATGACATTCTCCTTAGTTTTTCTAACTGCTGTATAGCTCTGGTGGAACTGGTAACATACGTGTTGTCAGAGAGTTATCGGTTGAGGTGAGCTTGGCTTTTTCTGTGAAATGCCGATTGAGGTCACTGCAGTTATAGATCGGGAGTCAGCAGTTTATTTGGCTGGCGAGGCTATTCACTGCAAGGTAAGTCGCTTAACTTTTAATTTGGGTTCGCAGATCAGAGTAGATGTTTCTTATTGTTTTATAGGTAATTGTTAAAAATAATGGAAAAAATGAGGAAGAACCGTTAGCGTGGGGTAGTGTGCATGTGCAGTGCGAAAGAATAATAAACACTGGTGCTCATGATGAACTTGCTAAAAAGACCTCTCATGGAGAGAAACAGAGAAAGCAGTCTACTTCTATGGCCCGTTCTGCATTTACTGTAAGAAGTTTCCCTCACTAAGTGGACATAGATTACTGGTTGAGCCTGTTACATAGGATTCTTATAGGTGTTTTCCTGCAGACCTGTAGTGCTTTTTTGTGAACTAAAACTGGGTCCTGGTGAACGGCGTGAATTTGAATGCGTACAACAGTTGCCAAGTGATGGTATTCCCCCTTCGTTCAAGTAGGTTTACTAGAGCGAAATATTTTTTATGAAAAAAATTTTTTTTGTTTTATTTTAAAAAGCTCAATTCAACTATTGCGTGTCAACTAATTTCTAAAACGGCTTTGGCGTACGAAAAGTTTTTAAGTTTTAAACCATTTTTTCACAGTTTTTGGGGGAGTTAATTTTATGGAGGAAAAAATTCAAACCTCTGAGTAGTCCTAATATTTTGAATTAGCTTTGAGTCACTTATGGATTCTGAGAGAATTGTTATTTAAAATTTTTATTAAATTTCTTGCCTGCAAAACTGTCGTTTGTATTAGTCTGTTTTAAGTCCTTTATTTTGACACGGAATTTAAAATTCTATTTGGACTTAATAGTTCAACCAAATAGGATTTTGAGGATTTTTTTTGTTGAAGGTCCGTTGTTTTAGAGGTTTCTTAGTGAGATATGTTTACAAGCTTACTCTTGGTGTTCAACACCTGAAGTCTCCAATTAAGCTGATAAATATCCCACTTCGCGTTATTCAGTCAGATTTAGGCCTGTTGCAACCCCTAACGTCGAGTAATTCAAATCCATTTATAGCAAATGAAAAAGTTGGGTGAGGCCTATTTTTCTGTATTTTGCTTTTGTCTTGCATACTTTCTGGATCTATACTGAAGTTGTTTCTTACTTCCCAACTTGAACTTCTGTATTGATTATATCCTTTATACAACTGAATTTAGACCCTCGGTAATTGATTTGATGACGGAAGCAGCCGACTGCTTAACTGCCCCGCAAGGGAGCTACAGTTATTGCATGACCAACCATAAAGGAAAGATTGCAAATTTTGTTTTGTACAAAAAAGCTTTCAAACTTGGCGAAGATGTTATTGGAAGATTCGTATTCACAGGCTGTCAAGTTCCATGCATTCAGGTTTGCAAATACACTTTTTTTTTCATTGCTTATCACCGCTATGTCTCGTCCTCCCACAGACTGGTTCAAAACTCGTTGTCGCTCCTCTTATTAAACTCTGGAATTGTTTTTAACAATTGTGTTTTTTACAGTTCACGGTGAGTGTCCAGACAGTAGAGTCTTTGAGTGACGATATAAATTCGAGAAAGTACACATGTACGTATATGACTGAACATGTAGTGTGTGCATATTGGAAAGATGCTCTTGTGAAATTGAATATTCCTCTTTCAGCAACGCCGACATTCCATACTGAAACTGGTGTGTCCATTGCTTTGAAATGAAAGGATTGCAACTTATTTTGAGATTTTGAAAGCTGCAATTCTAAGCCTTTGGCTGTTCAAAATAATGGTTTGCTCTTGTCTGTTAATTTAAGTTCAACTAAAGTGGCGCTTACACTTTGAACTTGTGACGAGTGATTGTCTGGTAGAGTGTGTCGATGATGGTCTAACGGAAGCTCCCGAAAACCTCGACATTGAGACAATGACATGGGACCTCGATATTAAGGTTGCTTCAGAGTTACCATATTTCTTCTAACTCCGCATACTTGCTGAGAACACTTCTCAAAATAAACATTACTCTTCAGGTTTTCCCGTGCAGCCCATACAATGCCGCTCTAACTAGTAGTGGGATTTCTTCAACCGCTTCCCTTATCGTCTAGTAGTGAATTATTGCGACATATGCAGTACATTACATTAATTTATCAACACTTTCTCACATTTCATTGTTTTGTTATTGTGATTGAATTGTCTGTAAATTGGAATATACTTAGTGGGTATTTGGCCTGCTCAAAAAAGATTGCTTGGTACGGGAAGGTGGAGGCTACTACTGTGCAGATCACTGTGAATAATGAGCTATGTTCGCCTTGATGCCGGCAGTTGAGCATCTTCAATTTTAAACAGAAGTCATGTTTGTTGATTTCACTGTGTGTGCTAGTTTCTCACCAGCACAATCACTGTTGACGAGAAGTCATGCGACCGACTAATTAGTACGGAAGGATTATCAGCAGTAGGGGTTCTCTATCTGCACTTTTCGTTAACGTTATTAAAGTGCCAACGGCCCAGCAACATACAAACAGATCGGTTTATACAGTTTTGATCACAAACTCCAAAACGTTTTTTTAATCACATTCAACAGTTAACAAAGTAGTCGAAAGTGCGCATTTCTCGCAAGAAAAAAGAAAAAAAATTGGCGTTGAAGCTTTAGCTTCTGAAATCAAGTCTGACTAACTGGTTATTTTGTCAAAGTGCACAGTGTAGTTATTGAAAGTACAAGAAGCTATCAGTGACGGATCGTTACACTCAACTGCTCCATATAGTATGAAGTCTCCAGCGTCGCTTTTTCTTTCCAAAATCGAAAATGTTGTTTTATCAAGTAGAATCCACCCGTTGTACATACAAGCTGCTAACAGTTTCGACTCACTTGTTTCTTCGACATTCCAGACACCGCCGTTCAGCTGCAAATCACGTCTTTAAAACGAAGGATGAATAACAGTCTCAACAAATTTGAAGCGATATTACAGACCATACTTTCCAGCCCAGTTAAATGACAGGTATGTACCAATGGAACTTGGTTGTAGAAGACAGAACAGAGTAGTACTACAGTTTTCCACTGCACCTCTTAAGTTAGGTACTGGAAAAATTGTAGTTACAAAGTTCGTCAACAGTACTCCAAGCGAAGAACCTTCCAAGCGAATTTAGAAAAAATAACTTGCCATTCCTTGACACAGAGGTTTTTCCAACTTGCGGACGTCGAATCTGCGAATATTTTCATCGTAAGAACCTGTGATGAGGTAGTTGTCGTCTTCTTTCCTCACAAATACAACTCCACTTTCGTGTGACGAGTTGCAAGCCACTGGCTGACAACTACATCTTACATCCCAAAGTTTGAGGAGAGCATCTTCACCACCGGAAGCAATATAATTGATGTCATTAAGCCAAGTAGCACACCACACTTCACACGGCTCTTTTGTATAATTAAGCCTTGCGGCAGGGAAAGACGTTATA